CGAGTACTTGCTGCTCTGTTGACTAAATATGTCCGACCACAGACCAAAAAGCAATGCCGCTGATTCCTGATGGTCTCGACTCCACGCGCACTGTTGCTGCAGGGGCCTAGCAATTAAACCCAGGAGCAGAGATTTAATCCATTTAAAGGCGCAAGTGAAGGGGGTGAGAGCATCAAGGGATTAAGCAGCTTCCTTTGATGAGGGGTTGGCCATATTTAGTCGGCGGATCAGTAAGTACTCGGATCATCCATTCTGAATAGGGCCTTAGTGACAGGCCAGTCATTTAAAACTAATATGCATAATTGGAAATAGTATGAAATGTGGAGTCCAAGGATGCATTCCCAGAGATTTAGATTGATCCAGAGATTTAGATTTAGATCGACCTAACTCCTTGGGGGTTCAAGCTAAATTGCAGTCAGCCGAGCGCACACCATAGTTAATTACCCCCTTACAGCTTTTAGAAGGTGGGGCAGACGCTTAAGCTGTCTAAGCTGACAGTAATCTAGTGAGAATCCCCACAGGGATAGATTGATCTAAAATCTATGGGAATGGGGTCCAAGTGCAGAGACAGGTTGAAGAATGATTTGTGAGTAGGAGAAAATTGCTTTTTTTTTAAAGGAAAATTTTGTTTAGTGGTTAAATTCCAGAAAGGATATCTTTGATATTAAATTATTAATGTAATCTAAATATATATCTGGTTAACCAATGTAGTCTCTTTGTCAGTTACATAATTGTGAGTAGGAGAAAATTGCTTATTATTTTTCTAGGAAATTTTTCGGGGAGGGGGGGGGGGATCTCAGATCCAACATGTAGGCCAGCATATACGCCTCTCTTGAATCTGGATAAGGTTTAGTATCGGTGAATAGTTTTTGTTGATTTCATAATGGTAAACTGAAGCACATGGTTGGCTGAGGTATTGAAATGTCATGTCCATGTGTCTGTCTGATAACTTGATATTACATGTTCAAGATTAATATACAAGTAATGATTTTTTTTTGTAAAATTTTGCATCCCACAAACCAAAATCCTATTTTAGATAATGCATACTCTATGCAGAAGAAAATCGTCCAAGACATCAGTGTTACTCTTGCTTCAACAGTTCAGGCACCATGGAACAATTTATTCTCTCTCCTCTGGTTTTGGCAAGGCTGGAGTAGCTCTCATTAGAGTATCAGGCCCACAGACTTCAACTGCATTAAAATCACTTTGTAAATCTGATATACCAAAGCCAAGAACGGCTGTATTGAAGAAACTGTTTGATCCCGAGTCTTCAGAGTTGATTGACAGGGGCTTGGTATTATGGTTCCCAGGTAAGTTCCTCTTACTCAGCTTAGAATTGCTAGTGCTGTCATTTTGTGCCTTTGCTGCTCTGTATATTAAATGGCACTTCAGTATTATAATTTTTATTACTATTTTTATTTTAGTATTGTAATGCTCTATTTTTATCTTGAGGTAGAAAAATTATCAATTTCAAAGAGAAAAAGAAATATTCTCAGTTCATTTAAAATTTAGAATAGTAAAGTAGTTGTGATTATCTTAATTTGTTTTTGTCCAATGGACTAAATTTGTAGCCGACTAAATTCTCTTTGATTACATCCAGGTCCTCACAGTTTCACAGGTGAAGATGTCTGTGAATTCCATGTCCATGGTGGAAGTGCTGTTATCAGTGCTGTGTTACATGCATTGGGAAACATTGAGGGCCTGGAGCCAGCAGCACCAGGGGAGTTTACCAAAAGGTACTACAACTTCATTCAGATTTGTTTCAGATGCCTGAATTTTATCGTTCATAATGTCTTCAGGGTCAAAATTTACTGGAGGTGGGATGTTTTATTATGGATTCATTGCTACAGTATACTTCTAGGTCTGCTATTCATGCTATTTTTCAGGCATCGCATAGGCATTATTCCTTTCTGTCCATCCATTGTTTTTTTTTTTTGTGTATTTTTTCTTTAGTAAGAGAAAGTCTAAAGCTCTTTGCACTTTGAAAAATCTTACATGTGTGACAGTGCAAAAAAAAAAGACAACAAAATAAAAACCTCAGTAAACACTTCTTTATAAAGTTGGCATAGGCCGTAATTTATTTTAGATCATTCCACAATGGCAAATTGGACCTCACTGAGGTGGAAGGACTGGGTTCATTAATTCATGCTGAAACAGAAGCTCAGAGGCGACAGGCAGTCAGACAGATGGAGGGGGATCTCAGTAGGCTGTACAATGACTGGAGACTGAGACTTTTAAAGGTGCCGTGCTGAAAGTTTCAGTTTACTACACCATACACTGGAGAACATAGTTCAAATTTTGCCCCCTCCACCCCCCCCCCCCCCCCCCCCCCC